TATATAATAATTATAATAGTATACTTTAGAAGTTTCAAGTACCCACCAGGGGAGTAATTAGGGGTGGATAAGGGGATAGATCCCCCCAAAACTTGTTTTTTAATTTTTAAATTTTTGATCAAAGTATTGATAATGACCATTCATCAGGGCTATATTTACCATTTTGCCGCCGCGGGACACAACATTTTTTTCCGCCCTTTATAGACACATTTTAATATTTTACTAATATAGCGTTAATTGGGAGAAAAATAAAATTATTATGCTAAAATATACAAATATTAACACAGAATAATGAATATAAAATAATATTCTATATGATTAACTATGAACTTTATTATATTAATATTAGTAACAATTACATTTTTCTACGAGCTTTTAACTTAATAAACTTATTTATAATATCATCATAATTTATATTAACTGTTAATTCTGACTCTATATTTAGTATTGCTAGATCATTCAGAGGATCATCTTTGGTACTAGATCTTAAGTAAGTTTTAATCCTCTTCAAAGCACTAAAACTTCTCTCTGCTGAGCAGTTTGAAGCTGGACAACATAAAAACATTCTTAAAGCAATGCTAATATATGGAAAGACATCTTGTAAATCACTTTCTATTATTTTCTGCAACATTCCTAAAATGGTTTTAGGAGCATTGTCTTTTGGTAAAGTTAGTAGGTAGCTCTGAAAATGAATGTATTCATTTGAGAATGATACAGGAAGATCTTTAAAGTAATATTTTTGTAAAACTGCTGATTGATGTCTGAATGGCATTCATGTTTGCTAAAAACGTATATCCCCCCCAACCAAATTCCTAATTACGCCACTGGTACCCACAAATAATATTATACAATCACAACAAAATAACTAAAATAGTTATTCTAGGGTTTTTTAATATGTAATATCTTCCAAATTTGAACTTAAAATAACTATAAAAATAAACAGTGCATATATATTTTTTAGATTTTTTGATAACAGAATTAACTGCTTACGTGGAATCTTGTTGGACATATTCAATCCTTCGGTATAAAAGTTGAACATTTTCTATATTTTTTACAACAAAATAATTATTCAATTTTAAATTTGATAAAGGTTGTCAAAATTTGATCCTTAAAGAGGATGTTAGCGCACTATTTGTTTTCTCTCTCTGGCCCACGCGCAGCATAGATGAAACGCATGAACGCAGAATCATTTTTTCTATGTTTTAAAGTAATCTTGGAGTAAAATTAACCATTACAAAGAAGATAAAGAATAATATTTTTGAGGGAATGTCATATCTATTTTATATTTTATTGTTATTTGACTTTGTATTCGACTTTCAAAATAAACAAAAAAATGTTGTACATTAAAATGATGTTTGAATTGTTTTGAGAAAATATTTAGACAAATCGATATGACATTCCCTCAAAAATATTACTCTCTGTCTTTTTTATAATGAGTGATTTTACTCTAGGATTACTTAAAAACATAGAAAAAATGTTTCTGCGTAAATGCGTTTCATCTATGTTGCGCGTGGGTCAGAGAGAGAAAACAAATAGTGTGCTGGCATCCTCTTAATGCTTACAAAAAACTTGTGCCTATCTATTTTTAATATTTTTCAACTGCTATTGTAACAATATATCAGAAGCCCTGTATTACATTTTTACACTTTTTTACCTAACAAATAAAGTTTTATTGACATTCATAGAAAAAAAACCTAAAAAGTTGGAAACTGAGTAAATCCGTAAACAGCTCAAAACAAATCAACATCTTTTCATGTATAGAAAAGGCTAATATAAACATTCATTGAAAATTTCATGTATTTACGATCATTTGTTTTAGAGTTACACAAAAAGCCAAAATCGATTTTATCAAAAACCGATCTTGCGTAAAAATTCCCATTTTTCCTTGATTTTTATTTTGTTTTTACGGGCGCTTTTCACTTTCTCACCGGAAATTGAAAATCGAAACATTATTTCGACTACTTATCGTATACACAGACACTCACAAAAATAACACACATCAATGTATAATCAATACATTCATGGCTCCGCTCAGAATCTAAAATTAATGGACAATGGTTAACTATTATCACAGTTCAAAGATAAAACCAATAAAAACTTACCACTTACGACTTGATATCATATTTATCCATCTAAAACAGCAAAACGTATATCTTCATAGTATGAAGTATAAACACAAAATAATTAAAAGTAAATTGAAACTGTTAATATTGTTAATAATTATTATTTATTTAAAATAAACAATTATAAGGCCTGGGATTTTAATCATAGATAATAAAGGTGTTTATTATCTATGATTTTAATGCCCTAAAACAACCAAAAAATAAAATTTCATTATGCCCTAAAAATTCTAAATAATGCACTAAAAAATGCACTACGTATTTTTTTTTTTATAATTTTGTTATAAATTTGTTACATTTAAATTATAGTATACATTTTAAAAAATGGTTAAAAATTTTACTAGCATTTATACAGGACTGATCGTTTTGGACTTTTTTAATTTGGAAAAACAATTATTTCCATACATTTTTATTTTATTATTTTTATATAGGTTTAGACAACATTTTATTTACCTGTACAGTGTACATATTATAGTGTCCTAGTTCGGGCTAGTTAAAGTTTGTTAAATTTACATAAAAAATCGTGTAAGAGCATGTAAACATTTTAAAATTCAAATTTTGGATTTAAATACCTTAAAAATCTGAAAACATCAAGCAAATGTAAATTAAAACTTCTTATTTTAATTCAAAAATGCATGTCACGTGTATGTTATAAAACGAGGGCACGAACATCGCGTGGCTAGAAGCCTGAAAAACAATTCAAAGTGCATCGAAATCCTAGCCAAATTATTATAATAAAATATTATGATCTATGCAATTTAACGAACAATAGGGGGTGTGGGGGTATAGCCCCGCCAACATTATTGCTATTATAAAGACTTAAATCTCATCTCAGAACCAATCCCTAATTACGCCACTGGACCCAAGTGAAATTTGTTTAACATAATTACTAATTAGTATATTTGTTCAATTTAACATCATAATTTCGGTCCATATAATAGGTATCGTATATTAAGCAACAATTTATAATTTATTACATTGAATAAGTTTATATAACCTTACTTAGGTACCTATACTGATAATTATTTTTAAATTATTTATTAGTTATTTCTTATTGCAATAATAATATGCATTGCTATAATATTATAGTAGGTACGTAATCACAATAACGAAAAAGTACTGGTACAGTGGTAGTGTGGTTGTGGTACCTTGTTGTTGATTGAATTTCAAACTTACTAAATAAATTAGTCGCTAAATTGCCTATACTTATCCCCTTAAAACGTATATGTTTTAAGGGATTTGGTATGGGTAATATCAATACAAAATTTAACAATTTAACAATTTATTACAATACAATTATTTATTAATCTATTTAAAGTAACTTACGAATGAGTTGACATATTAATTGTTTTAACTGCTTCAAGATGGCAAGACATAGTTTAGTGATAAAATATTTAAAATTTTGTATATAAATTTAAAAATTTTTATCATTAGGAGGTACTATAGTTCATAAATATTATATTCTCGTATTTATATTAAATTGTATAGGATAAAGCAAAGTAATAATGACTGGCAAAATACAATCATAATTTATAAGCAGCATTGACATTTCGTGTTTCTGTTCCTAATAATAAAATTGAAATTTAATCTTTTCGATTTGCGGTTTGTAGTTCTGTGTAGTTCAATATTCAGTCGGTTACTTTGAAGTTCAAGGCACCTATAAAAATATAACCAGTTAATTATAAACTTTTTATTAAGATATTATGTAAAAATCTAAAATTATGACTTCATATATAATTATTATTTTACACTCACAAAACAACATATAAATCTTAATATTTTACCAATACAGCCGGACTTGATTAACTGGAAGGTAAAGTGAGTAGGGACCAGCCTAAAAGTTCGAGTTATTCTTGGATAATTTACAATAGGAAATTCTAGGGATTTGGAAAAAGTTTGAGGTATCAACGATTTCGAGTCAACCAAGTTTGACTGTATAGTATATTGTATATAATATATTATAGGTTTGATATCAGTGATGACGAAAAATAAACATATACCTAATAGGTATCTACTTCTAAGCCATTTTACTATAATATCCAAAATTAAACATTTTATTTTTCATAAATAGGGACAATGTATACATCAAATGTAATTTGTATATATTTTATAACTGAACAGGAAATATAAATACTATTTCATAGTTTTTACTGTTGCCTGTATATTAAGTAAACAGCAATTTAAACTGGAGCCCGAATAGACTCAAGTCTGTCTATACCCGTTAGGCGTTAGTGTTGCTGTTACATAATTTATACATATATAATAGACTTAGGCTTACTATGATCTAGTAGAACCTTAAGCTACATACTTAATTCTGCTTGAATATTCAGTGGCGTATATAAGAATAAAGTGCCCCAGCCCCCAGGTAAAAAATGAAGTAGCGTCACATTTGACAATCCCATTAATATTTGAAAAGTGACAACACATAATATTATACATAGGAGTTATATCCATGGTTGATATATATTATTAGGCGTTCCCCACGGTCTTATATACAGGTCGGGCAGCTTGGCCATGAGCTGCGTTCTTTTAATGATTATGTAGAATTGTCAAAAAGACTTGCAGTGCTATCTAGTGGAGTTTTTTGAAACCGTGAACTGTCAATATAACCTTACGGATCGCAGCACAGTGCTTAATATCAAATCATACTCAATAGCACGGTCTTAAAATATATAATATGAATGTATAATAAATAATAATATGGTCATTTTGATGATTAATAATAATTATTATTTATTATTTTTTATTATAACACCATTGACCATTGTAGTTGTTAGTGGTGATATTACAATACATTACTAATTGACAATTGTATCGTCTGTTTTGTTTTTAATTTGTACACTCACCTTATCCAATACAAACTATTAAATATTAATCATCATGCCAAAAAAACAATGTATTATTAAAACCTGTTTAAAATCTAGTTTGTTATTTACTATTCCGACGAAAGATGAGGATTTCTTTAAATGGCAACAAGCTTGTAAAAAGTATGTAGATATAAAACGTGGTATGTATTTATGCAGCTTTCATTTTGTTGAAGAAGATATTGTTCGAAAACGGTTACTAGTATCTGAAGGAACTGTTATTGGTGTGGTAAGTTCACCTTTACCATTTCAACATTCAAAATTATTTAGTATTACTAACAACATTATCAAGAAAACTCACTAAAATTAAATGTTTAACTGACTTTTTTGTTGTGTTTAGAGTGAATATAAAAAGCCTCGACTCAAATCTGGAAGTATACCATCAGTATTTGAAGATAATATAGGAGCACAAAATAAATTGGAGAACTGTTTAAACCCACCGACTAATTTTAATCATGTAACTAAATTCTAATTTTATTATTATAATATCTGCAATTTTAATCAATTTTATTGAACTTTTGTCGTAATATACAGTTTATGTACCTATTTTATTGCACACAATAATTAACACATCCTAATTAAATATTAATAATTTAACAAATCTAAAATAAGGTTAGGTTAATATAATATAATATAATATAATAATAATAATATAATATTATTGGATTATTTTTATTTTAGTATAACACCTTAAATACAAAAAATTAAAACATTTTTAACTTTATGGATTATTTTTAAATAAATTCAGCAATGTTAAGTTATTTTAACTTTCAATTAAACTAGTTAAGTTCATAAGTTGATAAGAAAATTGGGTAAGTAGTGAAGTTAAAAAGTTAAAAAAAATTAACTAACTTTTTAACTAGTTAATGACTACCTTTACATATCTGTTATAAATGTTTTCATTATTTTGCCGTTAGGCATATTATTATTATGTTTATAATAATTATTCTATAGGTATCTAAAATGAAATATCAAAAAAATCAACTTTGTATGAACAAACCATTAAAAGTATATTCAGGGCCAAGAAAACAAGTAGAAGTGTTTGATTCTCAAAAAGTGACTAATCAAGTAAAAACTGAGTGAAAATCAAGTGTTCTAGAAAATAATTATTGTTTTTATTTATTGTATATAATTTCAGGCTCCAGATGATCTAGAAATAAGTTCATTAGCTTCTCCTTTACATGATCATATATTTAAGTTAATATATAATAATGACACAACCGTGTAAATGCCATTGGGTTGGAATAAATCTTCATCTATAAATAAACCCGAAATTGTAGTTTACTTTCAGTTACTATCGAAAGAATCTAATGGTATTGTTTCTAGTGTAATCTTGCCAATTTTTGGGAAAACTGTAATTGTTGATTATAGTGGTAAGGTACAGTGTAATTATTTAGGAAAGAATGTTCCTATTAAATTATTACTACCTAGTTATGATTGTAAATTAGAATTGAATATCGAACTACTTACATCAATCATTTGTCAATTCCATAATAAAGATATCTGTGAAGGTGTTAATGTCCAAGATACAAATCTGAAGTTTAAAAGTGAAACGGTGTACATTGATGCTACTTACAAGTGGAGGCATAAAAATTGCTCTATTATACTTTCAGAAGATAATAAAAAAATATGTAAATCATGCAATTTGATTAATCAGTTATTTAGCAATAAAAAATATAGAAGAAAATCCAAACCTTTAAAGAGAATATCCTTGAAAGTTACCCCAAGTAAAAAAGAAAACTTAAAACTTCTTCGTAAACGCAACAGCTTAAAATTAAAATTAAATACTAAAGTAAATTATTCCCGTAGAGCGTGTTTTTGTGTACAAAATTACATTGTCACTGGGCACAGATATATAAATATATATAGTTTTATATGTCTGTGCAACTGGGCCCCACAATATCCTAATAATAATTACGTTATGAAATGCTGCACTCTGTACTTATTTGTATAAAACGATATATATTAATTTCAATGATAGAGGGCGCGCACTGTGTTCTTGACAATTTTATATAACCATTAAGGTTCAAAGTCTTAACACTGTACTATAATGCGAGTTGCCCGACCTGTATATAAGACCGTGGGCGTTCCCTATCAAAGCCGTGTAACAAAATTGAAGTCAAATCATCGGTCGCCAACACTTTATAGACAGTGATATAAATGATTCATGGGTAACTGGAAATGGGAATAACAAATATACTGTATGTATTTAATTATTTCTTTTAAAATCATTATTGTAGTTATAGTCAAAAAAGTACCTACCTGTATATGTCTAGGTATGTTTAAAAAGAGCTAAGCTGCGTAATGGTGCCATTCCTATACCAGTTAAAAATGGATCAAAGTGTAGTAAATATAGCCAATATCATATGAATACACTGTAATTTAAATAATACCTGTTAGTCATTGACTTAATATTTATATATTTTTTTAAGAATGACAAGACTAATAACGATTGTGGTACTAGCTGTGGAAATGTACATAATGATTTACTATCTTCGATAAACAATGATCACTGTTATACAGCAATAAAACCATAGGAAAATAAAATAGTTCATGATACTGGTACAACAAACTACCTAAAAAGAGATGCACCTTTATTTAATACAGAATTAACGTCCCCAATACCTAAAAGATTAAAGGTACTGTACCTATTATAAAATTAAATAATGTTTTAATTTGTATTATTAATATCATTATTGTGTTTTTATTTCTGATTAAAAGGTAGAACAAAAAATGACATTATTTAAATCAGTTTTAAATGATATAAATAATAAATATATTAAAATTAAATATACGAACAAAATGGTTTTGTGATATCGATTATACTCTACTAAAAAACAATTATAAGCAGACTATAATTTCATTTCATAAGTTGGGATCTTATACAAAAAATGTTATGCGAATGCGATGCATTGAAAAACAACTAGTTTTAAATGAAGGTAAATTTTATACAAAATATAATATAAATTATTAATATTATAAACCTATAGAAATCAAAATCTATATTATTTTCTATTTACAGAGTCCGAGTTATTTTTATATGCTTTTGACAAAAAAATAGAATTATCAGATATTGGGGTTAATTCAAATATTAGTATAGACAATCACACTGAAGTAGAGAAGATAATTAAAATATTTGACAATATTAGGTTGTGTAAGGGTGCAGTACCATCAAATGAATATGGATACGTAAAATTATCCATAAGTCCAGTTGAAAAATGTGGTATGTTGTGGCATCCAAAATGTACCACAATACTTCCTAAAGACAACAGCAGTAATAGGTTAATATAAAATTATATTGCATTAAGTATGAAATATATTTGTAGTCAGTCATTCAACTTGAGTAAAAAATTAAAATACTATCTTTAATCGTGATTCAAACCAGTAATTTTTATCACGATTGGATCTTCGCAGGAAAAAATTTTTTGTGATCCATGGTGTCAAAAATGTCCACCAGAGTGAATCACGTCTAGTCTAATCCCTATCATCTTATCAGTTATCGTTGATAAAAAAACGATTCATGATAATATAGTATTGTGATTATGTGATTTGAATTTTTGATTAATTATTATATTTTTGTATTATTTTACTTTATTTTATTATTAAATATAATTACACATAATTAAAACCAAAAAATATATAACCATGTTTAATTGCCAAGTTTGCGATGCTAAATACATATCAGTGTCTGGTTTAAATAAACATTTAAGAATAAAACATAAAGATACTCCGAAAATTAAAAATCTTTATTATTGTAATGACTGCGATGCATCATTTGATTTAAAATTGAATATTATAAAACACACTAAGACTCATTTATTTAGTCAGAATAGGAATATATTATGTTCGTATACAAATTGCACAAAATCATTTCCATCCATGAAAGGATTAATTGTGCATTTAAAATCTCATAACATTAATATCGAGCCCACAATGTTAAATTTTAATTCTATAGAAGGTATATTAATTTATAATTACATTATATATCTGTTAACAATTATTATTGCTAACTTATTGTTTTCTATGTACTCAGTGATTTAGCTTAAAGTATTTGTTTTTACTTTTGATGGACATGTATGTATTATTATTACAAAATTTTTCAGTCACTATTGCGAAATATCGTTCCTCATAAAATGTTTGTTCAGTATTAATATCGTTTAAATGTTATAGGTCAAATATTAACATTTCTTGTGATTTGGCTGAAAATATTGGCTTTTACTTTTGATGTTATTGTGGACATGTATGTATTTTTATAATAATATTTCATAAAGGAACTGAATTTTTCAGTTATGTAAATGTAAGTTAATAACTAAAAGAGTATAGCTTAATTAAATATCAAATTAACAGATGACTGTAGACTGTAACTGTAGACTGCATGTTTGTATTGACAATTTTTTAAAACTTGAAACTTATTTGAAATTATTATTATTATTACTGTAGACTGTATGTTTGTATTAACATTTTTTTAAAACTTGAAACTTATTTGAAATTATTATTCTTATTATTGTATATTTGTATTGACAATTTTTTAAAACTTGAAACTTATTTGAAATTATTATTATTATAACTGTAAACTGCATGTTTGTATTGACAATTTTTTAAAACTTGAAACTTATTTGAAATTATTATTATTATTACTGTAGACTGTATGTTTGTATTAACATTTTTTTAAAACTTGAAACTTATTTGAAATTATTATTCTTATTATTGTATATTTGTATTGACAATTTTTTAAAACTTGAAACTTATTTGAAATTATTATTATTATAACTGTAGACTGCATGTTTGTATTGACAATTTTTTAAAACTTGAAACTTATTTGAAATTATTATTATTATTACTGTAGACTGTATGTTTGTATTAACATTTTTTTAAAACTTGAAACTTATTTGAAATTATTATTCTTATTATTGTATATTTGTATTGACAATTTTTTAAAACTTGAAACTTATTTGAAATTATTATTATTATAACTGTAGACTGCATGTTTGTATTGACAATTTTTTAAAACTTGAAACTTATTTGAAATTATTATTATTATTACTGTAGACTGTATGTTTGTATTAACATTTTTTAAAACTTGAAACTTATTTGAAATTATTATTCTTATTATTGTATGTTTGTATTGACAATTTTTTAAAACTTGAAACTTATTTGAAATTATTATTATTATAACTGTAGACTGCATGTTTGTATTGACAATTTTTTAAAACTTGAAACTTATTTGAAATTATTATTCTTATTATTGTATTGTGACAAATTTTTAAAACGTAGTTAAAAATTATAAATTGTTCAATTTTTATAGCTAAGGATTGAAAATTTAAAACAACGATTTTAAATTTAAGTTCAAATTTGGAAGAAATTATAATTATTGTAAAACAAATTTATAATATGAATATAAATTATTATTATTATTATAAAGCAAAATATAAAAATTTGGTTTTTACTTTCATGGTTTTTTTTCCCTTGGTC